CTAAATGTAAAAAACATGTTACATATCATGTGACAAATAATGACCCATAGTGCCTATGGCAGAATAAACAAATAATGACCCATAGTGCCTATGGCAGAATATACAAATAATGACCCATAGTTCCTATGGCAGAATATACAAATAATGACCCATAGTGCCTATGGCAGAATATACAAATAATGACCCATAGTACCTATGGCAGAATATACAAATAATGACCCGTAGTGCCTGAGGCAGAATATACAAATAATGACCCATAGTGCCTATGGCAGAATATACAAATAATGACCCATAGTGCCTAAGGCAGAATATACAAATAATGACCCATAGTGCCTATGGCAGAAAATACAAATAATGACCCATAGTGCCTATGGCAGAATATACAAATAATGACCCATAGTGCCTATGGCAGAATATAAAATAATGACCCGTAGTGCCTATGGCAGAATATACAAATAATGACCCATAGTGCCTATGGCAGAATATACAAATATTGACCCATAGTGCTTATGGCAGAATATACTAATTATGTATTACAGACTTTAACTGAATAATTAGAGCACACAAACGTGTACAAATCCGCAAAATATTCAGACATAATGCCTTTAAATTTAGAATTATTAATAAATGTGCAAATGCTCAGGCATCTGTATTCTTAATTACACATTAGAAGGTGCTACTGGTTACCCAATAGCAATAACAAATACTCAATCTGATGTTTCCACGGTCTAAGCCAATTAACATTTCTTGAACAAGGGCGCACATAAATTTCATCGATGATAGAATCTTTCGTATATACGTACTCTCGTGGTACACACTGAGCTATGATTCAAACAAAAGTACAAGTTACGTTGGGCACAGATGGCGCTGTAAATGACAAACAAATTTCACTGAAATACTTGTTTTCACACAGAATTTCACCTGGATATTGGGGATATGATTATTTGTTGCTTGTTGTTGATTTGTTGGTATGTATGTTGGTTAGTTGTTTCTTTATAATGATTCGATGTTATAGTTTGCCACTATGTGTAAGATGGGTTGTTTTTTTTAAATTTCTTTTCGAAAATTTCGAAACATCAAATTTAACAATTTTAATCTTATTTAATTAACAGAATAATTCTCTGTCTGGAATTACTAACATACCATTGCACTACCTGATAAAGGCAATCCACCATTTGAATACGTTCGAATGTTATTCCATCGGCCAATAGAATCGCTCGTTTTAATTTGAATTGTAAGCTTGATTGTATGAGTTCGTTGGGTTGACAGTAACAGAATGATTAACATGTAGAACTGGTCAATAAATGGTGGTAGTTTGCTGTAATAATAGAACACACCATTCATTTAT